GGCAGGAGAATTGCCTGAACCCAGGAGGCGGAGGTTGCAGTGAGCCGAGATTGCGCCATTGCACTCCAGCCTGGGTAACAAGGGCAAAACTCCTGCCTCAGCCTCCTGAGTAGCTGGGATTACAGGCACGCACCACCATGCCCAGCTAATTTTTGTATTTTTAGTAGAGACGGGGTTTCACCATGTTGACCAGGATGGTCTCGATCTCTTGACCTAGTGATCCACCCACCTCAGCCTCCCAAAGTGCTGGGATTACAGGCGTGAGCCACCGCGTCCAGCTGGGGACATGAATTTTTACTTGAAATATCTGCATTCCCATTTAAAGTCCCAGGAATCAAACAGACTTAAAAAGTGAAAGATGAACATATTAAGTTCCTTAGTGTTGCAGTCTCATTTTGCTTAGATTGATGTTTCTAATAGGTCTTAGAAGTATTCTAAAGCTGTGTGATGATTTACTTATATTAACGAAATTCACAGTCAAGAGATTCAATTTGAAAGATGCATTCTGCAGTTGTTTATTAGACTGTTTATAGGTCTCTAGAAAAGATTTATATATATAATAGTCTAATAGTTACAGAATGAATCGTTTAATTTTGTTTTCATTTTAAGAAGGCATATCAGAATTCATACTTTCTTAAAGTAAAACCTTGATTTAGCTAAAGGAATATTAGTTCATCATCAAGGTAACTAATAATTATGGAGGATTAAAAACAAAAAACAAAAGAATTATGGAAGATTAGGGATTCTGAAGGTAAGAAAAGAAAGATTCGTGAATCCTTATGCATTCTCATAGAATTATTCTCATAGTCATACAGCCTTCTCTACTTAGGCCTTATTCTTAAAAGAAGTCTTTATACATGGTATACAGTCTTAATTACAGCTAGCCTCTACTTGTAAAGGAAATCCTTAGCCGTCAACTATTTACTGACTTTCTCATATTTGTTATATTCATGCAGTGTCTACTTATTCTTTGTATATGAAAACAGCTTCCATATCAGATAAAGCACTTTATAAAAATGAATTTTCTTATGTGAGATAACTAGGAAATACTACTAATGTTAAAAGAACCAAAACCAAGAAGTAAGTTGATACAAATCAATTTGAACTTTTAATTTTAGAACAACAACAACAAAAAACCAAATACTTATCTTGTTGGGTTTCTCCTTCTGTGGTTAAACCTTCCACAAATCTGACAAATTAAGAATTGGCTCCAAAGATTACTTTTTAAAAATTAATTTCTTCTGCTTGCTATAAGATTTTAAAAGGTAGAATATGAGCTTTGAGAAGAAAGACCTAGGACTTGAGACACTTAAAAGCGTTAAAAGCATTTCAGTTGATGTTATTATGGACTTCCACAGAAATACTATAACTTTGGTAATAACTGTGGATAAACTGAAAACATGGTTCACTTACTTATATCCTGAATATTTTGTTTAAAGAAATTGGGTTCTTAAGACCAAATTATCCACAACTGCAAGATGTAAAAGATACGCTGATGAGTGAAGGAGTGATCATAATGGTTTTCTACTTGCTTATTCAAGAATTTCGTTACCGCTTCTGAAGGTTATGTCAATGAGTAAAATGAAAACTGCTAAGGAATGTAATAACCTTTACTACTGTTGAAAAAGTTTGCAGTTTACTATAAATGGCTTTCATTCATCAAGGGTAGGGAGTTTTAAGTTCTTAGTGGAACTTCCTATGATTATAGTTTGATATACATATGTATAGTAGAAAATTTAGTAAATTCAGTCAGATTTTGGGTTCAGTTCTGCTGCCTGTGTGATACTTTGTAATTTATCTTAATCTTCTATTTTCTAAGATTAGTTTCTCTTTTTGAGTCTTTTCCCTATTTTCCAAGATTATTAATATGTAAGATGATTATTTTATTTTCAACATGTAGCAACTAAAGATATGAGTCTTTTTCATTTTAGGGGACTCTGGTAATTTGAGATAATTATCTGTGTTTTCCTTCTTAGCCTGTGGACATCTCTACAGCAATGAGTGAACGGGCACTTGCTCAGAAAAGACTCAGTGAGAATGCGTTTGACCTTGAAGCCATGAGCATGTTAAATAGAGCTCAGGAAAGGGTACGTAGCAGTTTTTTTTGTTGTTTTTTAAATTTACCTTCAGCTAACTCATGTCAATATACCAGTTTTAATGGCTAAATAAAATTTTTGCTAACTACATGGTTGAGTTGTAACATCATTTACCTTAATTAGCTGTCTTATTTTAAATGAAAGTGGTTTGAGGCCTGATCTTTTATTCGGTAAATGTTTATTCTTTACTATGTGGCAGGAACTGTTTCTTGAGGGGAAAAAAAATAGAAGAATTTCCCTGACCTTACAGTTACAGTTTACAATCTGCTATATAAAAACAACGAAGGGCTTACAACCCTATGAAATGTATAGGTATCAATAGTTGCCATATTTCAGCTGAGAAAACTGAAGTGTAAAGAGTAGTTAAGGCTGGGTGAAGTGGCTCATGCCTGTAATGCCAGCACTTTGGGAGGCCAAGGCAGGTGGATCATCTAAGGTCAGGAGTTCGAGACAACCCTGGCCAAAGTGGTGAAACCCCATCTCTACCACAACTACAAAAATTAGCCGGGTGTGGTGGTGCATGCCTGTAATCCCAGCTACTTGGGAGGCTGAGTCAGGAGGATTGCTTGAACCCACGAGGCGGAAGGTTGCAGTGAGCCGAGATGGCGCCACTGCACTCCAGCCTGGGCAACAGAGTGAGACTCCGCCTCAACAACAACAACAACAACAACAAAGAGTGGTTAGGTGAGATCCACGGTCACACAACTAATTAGTGGGGGATCTGGGATTCAAACCCAAACACTATGAATCTGGAGTCTGTGCTTTTAAAAATGGACAGTTTGTTTCATTTTTACTGTAAGTACATGTTCAGATAGGAAATACATTGCTGACAGTGCAAGATGTTTAGTAAATCTAATTTGTTTGAATGACAGCTGATTCTTTATCACAACAAATGTTGGCGACTGATGTAGTGTACAGGCTTTTGTAAAAAGTTGTTTTGTAGCTGGGTGTGGTGGCTTATGCCTGTAATCCCAGCACTTTGGGAGGCCAAGGTGGGCGAATCACTTCAGGTCAGGAGTTTGAGACCAGCCTGACCAACAGGGAGAAACCCCACTCTACTAAAAATACAAAATTAGCTTGGCATGGTGGCACATGCCTGTAATCCCAGCTACTCAGGAGGCTGAGGCAGGAGAATCATTTGAACCCCAGAGGCAGAGGATGCAGTGAGCTGACATTATGCCATTGCACTCCAGCCTGGGTAACAACCGCGGAACTTGGTCTCAAAATTAATCTCATGTAAAAAAAGATAAGAAAAAATAAATAAAAACAAAAGTTTCATGTATTCAATTGTAGTGTTTCCTATAAATACTCTTTAAATGTGTCATGAATTTACTCTGTATTTATAATGTCTCAAAGGAAGTAATTAAGAATCCAGGCTGTTATGACATGTATTATATTTTATGAGATAGGAAGGGAGGGTGGGGACCCATTGCCATATGAACTTTTTACATTTTTAGTGTATCTATGTGATAGTTTGAAGAATGAGTATTAACAGCTGTGCCTTTTAGTAGCTATGCTTTTAGATACATTTCACAATCTTACTAGGATTTACTAAATGTTGTCAAACTGCTTTAGAAAATTTAGGCATATTTAATGTTAAGTGTGTATGGATTCAAATATTTAAGTCTGCTTTTCAGCCATTTTTACTTCATGAATTATTACCAGTGACGTTTTAATCAGGGAATTTTATATAGTGAACTGAGACCACTACTTTTTTTCAGATTGATGCCTGGGCTCAGCTGAACTCTATTCCTGGCCAGTTCACAGGAAGTACGGGAGTACAGGTTTTGACCCAAGAACAGTTGGCCAATACTGGTGCCCAAGCCTGGATTAAAAAGGTACACAGTATATGCACATATGAAAGTGTTGAACAAAAAGCTTAAATTTTTTGGAAACTGTTTATTAAAACTGCATGAAAAGACCAGTGGCTCTAACCAAAGTTCCTGAGTAAATTTGCTATGTGTATATGCTCCAG